GAGAGAGAGAGAGAGAGAGAGAGAGAGAGAGAGAGAGAGAGAGAGAGAGAGAGAGAGAGAGAGAAGTGGACACGTTCCACGTGTGTCTCTACACAAATGCAAAAGGGTAATGTGCCCGTAACTACCCAGAAACTCTGGCAAATTCATAGGTATAAGCTCAGAAGTTCATAACATTTCTCACTCCCGTTATACCTATGCTACGAAATACTCGTCCCATACATTACCTTCAATCCGATCAAACCAGCGTCCATGGAAAACCAAGGACCGGTCCTTCGAATTTCGGAGGTACTTCAAAAAATGCAGATGACTAATCTTCATAAAACGTCCACCCTCGCTATATCCCTTTTGGGGTAACTACTCGGGAGCCACAACAATGAGTTATAATTGCACTGTGGGGCAAGATACAGTTTGCAATTGCACTTTCGGCATCCTACCAGCCCACTTAGCCTTATAGTTAGGTGTTTGTCTGCCAAGTCGTTGGTTGTGTGTTCGAGTCTTGTATTCAGATTACACGTGTTTTCACGTAGTAACCGTTGTAGAGATTGTACTATGGGCAGTGTGGTTGGGTACACCGTGTCGCGGGATCTTCGTGCCCGACTGGGGTGAAGTGCTCATCTTGGGGCTTCACTTTCACCTCATCCCACTTAGCCTTATGGTTAGGTGTTTGTCTGCCAAGCCGTTGGTTGTGTGCTTGAGACTTGTATTCATATTACACGTGTTTTGCATTGTATACATTGCCCAAAGTGCAATTTGATATTGTATCTTGGCCTGTAGTGCAGTTATAACTCATTTCGATGACTCCCGTGCAGTTTCCCCATCCCCTAGGTTAACTACACGGGAGTCACAAAAATGAGTTATAATTGAACTATGGGTTTTAACGGTTGTCTGCCCTGAAGCTCATGCCACTTGGACAAAGACGCAATAATCCACTATACCACAGCCTTAGGGCTCCGAATTCCACATTTGGTCATTGGAGCCACAAAAATGGGGGCCTATCAGTTGCCGCAGGGAGGGAAATTATATATTTTTCCGTCTTATCTATTTTATTATTTTTAGAACGACCATTACCCAATCTACGTGACTGCGTTTTTTGGGGCCTTTTCGATTGTTATTATTATTATTAAGAAAAATCACTAAAGTTGGTGCACTCAACATTTTGCAACAAGCCCCTGACCACTCGTAGTTGAGCCTAATAGCCATTGTCAAATCATCAAGATTGCATGGCATGAAAAAATCCGCCCTTTCAAAAACTTTGGGCCCCTATTTTCGGGCCTATAGTTATGATGTAGAACTGGTCCTACACATACCAAAGTTATTGGTTATGACAATAATAGTTATACTAGGTCCTCTACAAAACTGCAAAGAACCAGTCACTGCTCAACTTCCAACCCTGTTGCACCCATTTTAGACTGGTCGCCCGCTCCAAACATGTGTGCCACCTTTAGAAAAACGCCCAACCAACTATACCTCAACCCAAATTGGTCACCATGGGGGCACAGAAAATGTAACCTTAAGGGGCTTTGTTTGTTTATGTTTTCAGACGAGCGCAAAGTAATGCATCTCTCTCTCTCTCTCTCTCTCTCTCTCTCTCTCTCTCTCTCTCTCTCTCTCTCTCTCTC